AAAATAGAGTGTGTCAAATCTGGGACAAAGCTTTTAATCGCAGTCTGAAGGTAACCTCAGATCTTTTGAGCACCCCCACCCCTCTCTCACTCATGTGCGTTTTGCAAAACTGTTTTCCTATGGCCCTACATCTGCGGATTAACACGGTCTTCCAAGACCCGGGAGTAACATCACACAAATCAGAAGAGAATCATGCATCTTAGTTCGTACCTCAATCACTCTTGCGCCAGGTAACCCAGCGGCCTCTGTTATAAACGGCGTATAAGCTTCGCACTGCGAGGTAACTGGCGGGGAACTGCGCGGTCGTATAGTCCTAAAACGGCCTCAGTCAAAGGAATCGCCTTCTGCCTCAAATGGTACGACGATTTAACCCAGCGCGGTGGGCTGATGACATCCGTCGCAAAATGCTGACGCCAGCCATGATTATTAGGACTAGTAATAAGTCTATTTGTTGCATTTCATACTGTTTAAGATGTCATGTTAATCTTGTCTGAAAAAAATATGTGAAAAGCACTGATTTGAGGGACATTGGAAAAGCACTGTGTCACCACTCATCTGTGACGTCAGCATCGATATAGTATTGTATGGTGTCTCTATCACCTGCTAAAAAGCTATCCTGATTAAAGGTATTATGTATGGAAGCATTTTGTGGCGCAACTTTCTCGTACAGTGAAACGCCAATGCTTCGACACGTGCTCTAGACAAGCTCACTCTGCAAGCGTTAGCCAGTACAGACCAATACAAAGCTTCGAGTTTCGTATAGCTGGGATGGTCTGCTGTACCTTACTTCATTCCCGCAGTTTTGTCACAAATAGCTTGCAAAACTGTCTAATTTTGTTACCGGCTATATCCTGTAAATCAATAGCTCTTTCACCCGTGATCAATTACGTCTCCATGCCTCTGTCTAGGCTGTCTGCAGAATAGGTGACAGCGTCGAACAAAGCCGCCTCCATAGAGAGATTGGGCAAAAACCGTACTTTCGAGAGCACAGGTCAGGTCATCTGCTTCACAAGTTGAGTGCGCCCAGCGTCCTCACAAAGCCTTGCCCCGCGGATTAGATACTGATGGGTCTGTAATTGCTCGGATCGCCAGGGTCACCTCTCCTTTGCAACGGCACGGCTGTGGTGACCTACCACTGACACAGCATCTCATGGCTGAAAACCGAGTTGGTGATAACCCTAAGGAGAATAGGTCCCACAGCTGGAAATGTTACTTTTAGCATGTAGACAGCGCAAGCGTCTGAGCTCTTCGCGTGGGATGAGCCCATTGGCTGCAGGGCGGCCGACAGGTTCGGGAGGGCGCGGCCGCACACGGCACGAGCGGGCCGATGCACCACGCGGCGGCCGCGGTCGGAGACTCTCCTCGGTGGGGGGCGCAGTTGACGGACCGCCACTGAGGAGCCGGCAGGCGCCAAGAACCGGTTCAACCTGTCGGCCCATTGCGGATCGAGGCCGATGGGGCTGTTGTCTTCGGCTCGGGTTTCTCAGACGAGATCGGGTCGAGATTGGGTATTTCCGAGTGTCCGTCCATGTTGTTGCCGCGGAGTTCTTGGAAGATGTTTGGAAGTACTTGGAGCAGACACGGCTTAGGACGATTTTGGTGGCGTTTCGGCAGAGGCGGTACTCTCTTCAGTTGTCAGCAGCCGGGCTCCCGTGTGCGCGCCTGGTTCCGTGCCTCCATTCCAGACTGAATCTTTTCATCTGGTATTCAAGGACCGGGTGACAACGGTAGCTTGCCCTACACATTGCCAATGCCTGGCCGGATCCACACAACTTGTGCAGCGTTCAGCTTCTCGGCCGTGGATGCATTCTGCCTAGGAGACCGCAGCACGTATGGTCTGGAGAGGCCAACCGATGATGGCTGCAATCCCACTGCAAACCGCGTCCACCGCATTCAGGCGTGCCGAGCGGCTTTCAGGGCTTCAGGCCTTTCAGGTGTTGGCTAGGGAGCCCACAGCAGAACAGGCTTCCGTCCGGCTCTGAACAGGCCCCGGCTTGTCCCAGACATTGGCTATCCACAGCAGACCACTTTTGCGAAAAGCGAACCCCTCCCCCCTTTGCAAAAACCTTTCGACGCATGTACCGGCCGATCTTGAGTTCCGGTCTTCGAAACCCGCAATGTCCATTCTTCTGTTTATATATCCGACACAAAAGCTGGAAGCGACTCTTCCGCATTCGCATGGGATTTTGAACTGAAATAGCCATTTTCCAGATAACTTCTTGCTGTTCAAAGCTACGTCCTGGAATTGCAATGCTTTCGTTTCTAAGCCAGACGCGTGCGAACTCATGCGGAAGTTTGCGCGCCGTGTGTGAGAAAGTGAGCCGGGGTTTGCTAGTCTTTGTCCGTTGTTTTGATGCCCAGAAACACTTCGACAGCTTGAAGCACGCTGGTCTTCTGCTGCATGCTGCTGAGCGTCTGCCTGCTGTAGCACGCTGGTCTTCTGCTGTGTGCTGCTGAGTGTCTGCCTGCTGTGCCACGCTGGCCTTCTGCTGCGTGCTGCCGAGCGTTTGCCTGCTGTAGCACGCTGGTCTTCTGCTGCGTGCTGCCGAGCGTCTGCCTGCTGTGGCACGCGATTTTGTCACCCCAACTCGCCCACAGTCACCTCAGACTCCAGACCGTCATCATTGCCACTCCAGACTGCATACCGTCACCATTGTTACCCTAGACTCCAGACCCGTCACCATTGTCACCGCAGACTACAGACCATCGACATTGTCACCTGAGACTCCAGATCATCACCATTGTCACCTGAGACCGTCGGTTGTCACCATTGTCACCTGAGACTCCAGATCATCATCATTGTCACCTGAGACCCCAGATTGTTACCATTGTCATCTGAGACTCTAGAACATCACCATTGTCACCCCAGACCCCGGACCGTCACCATCGTCACCTGGGACTCCAGACCACCCCAGGCTCTAAGCGTTTTCTTTTCTAAGTATTTTCTTTTCTTTTCTTTTCGTTTCCATTAATTAGACATATGGACCTTAGTGGCTCCGGTGCGCTGCTTTTTGGTTCTCATGTCCCAGTAATGTGTGTTGCCGAGGACCTTCTCAGTGTTTCTAGCAACGCGCACCACCTGAGTTACTTGCTTAGGATTATTTGAAGAGTTCGCCACTCGCTGGCGTTCGGAGTTTGTTCAGAGTTTGTGCGCAATCCGCCACACACTAAAAGTCGCTGCGATGTTTTCGGAGACGGGCTCCTACCGGAAATGTCGGAATGGCGCCTTTGCGGGCAACGACTGTCCGTGCGTACCCAGACCGAGCATCGGGATGTCGTGCTTGACCCCGAGCTGCGCGGCAGATCCCACCAGAACGCATGCCTGCTGAGCGCGCCTGATCTTAAAGCGCGCCTTTTACCCTGCGGCACCAGCCGGTGTTCTCAGCCTCCGCCCTCCGGCTCAAGAGAAAATATTCCTCTGGAGCATCATTACGGCCTAGACTCTTCTCTTTGGGAGCACACAAGTGGCTTCAGTTACAGCGAATATGGAGCTCGTGGAGGCCTGGCAGGACTCTGCTTAAAAGCAGCAATCATACTGCCACCACGAGCGCACAACGCAGCACTTCTCAGGGCTCTGCACGCCCCGCGAATACAGTCTGAGGTTCGGTTTTCTGTACTCAGAAAGTTCTGCAGTCTGCTTTGCTCTTCACGTCGCTTGCGCCGCGCCCTTTTGAGGGCCTCAGCTTGCTTGCCTGCCGCTCGGGTGAGCTTCCTGGGAGCTTTGCCAGATCCGCGTATTTGCTCTGTGGTCAAGACTGGCGGCGGCTAGTAAGCATGGCCTGCGGTAGGATATATGGCTGCCTACTTTCTCCACAGCGGCCTTGGCCATGATAGATTTATCACGGATCACGTATGCTCCGAATCGGAGCATACGTGTCCCATTCGGCTCCCCCGAATCGGACACGTGTATTTTAACTCCGAAAAAGGTGAGTGAAGAGAACAAGAGATGGAATGCGTTGCATACTTCTAATATACGTAAGTGTATATACCATAAGAGTAGTATGATATATATATATATATATATATATATATATATATATATATACTCAATAGTAGTATTATCATATAGAGAGAGAGAGAGAGAGAGAGAGAGAGAGAGAGAGAGAGAGAGAGAGAGAGAGTGAGAGAGAGAGAGAGAGAGAGAGTATATATTATGCCACCAGAGTGTGTATACCACCATTATATGTAATAGTAGTATTATGCATACTATATATACTATATATATAGTACAGTATATATATACCACTATCACTACTGTTACTACTGACTTTAAGCGGACTACGCTTAACGTAAGCATTTCATGGTGGAAAGTTACACCCTGATGATGGTCAGCAGAAGGTCTCGCAGCGGCGAGAAAGGTGGTGGCGGGCTCATCTTGATCATGAAACAGATCACTGGTATGAGGTAACTGCTGACATCAAGATTTAATTATCCGTTGTATCAGCAGCTTAAGCGTTTCAGGGCCCCTTTTTATTTCCGGATCCTACGAGCGGATTTGGCGCATGTGTGGTTAGCTGAGGCCGTCTGGATGTCATTTTTGTGCCACTTCTTAGTCCCTTTTGGCAAATGTAGAGGTCTCTTCTGGATTTCTGAGGCCCAGGTAGGGTCTTTCGCCACCTTATTTGACCGTCACTGTGCCCCTGAAGGGCACGTGGGGGGGGGGGGGGAGGCGCGAACAGCAAAACCTCGGCCTGCCACGCGAACTTTGAAAACGATCTTTCCGTCCCGCCGGCACCAAACCAACGCCGTTGCACAACCACGGCTGTCGTTTCGCTACAATGTGGACAGTCTTGATCTGATACGACATGCCTGCTGGACTGCTCAAAGTACCACAACTAGGCGGTGGGTTGTGCCCATAGCGGCGAACTTTGCTGACACCGGCGGATATCCTGTTCGCTATTCTGTCTACCTCCTGGTAAACGCCGTTTTTAATGAGTGTCGGCGCTGGCAAACTGGACAATCTTTCCTTTCCTCTCAGGCTTTGACTGACAGACAACAAATCGCTTTTATATGCGTAATAACGTTTATTCTCTGTGCTTACGCAGTAAGCCCTAACGCAGTTTTCCTGGGAAACATCCTTCACTTCCCAACACCACCAAAATTGCCGGGATTGCCGGGATTCCCCGGATTCCCTGGGTTGGGAATCTGGAAAGTGGGATAGAAGGGCAGTTTCGGCGGAGTGAAGGAGCCAGGATTGCCGAAGTTGCCAGGTCGGCCGAAGTTGCCGGGCCCGCTGGGCGGTGTGAACTCGCCTGGTCGGGTCCCCGGCCGCCCCGGAACGCCCGGGTTGCCGGGCTTGCCAGGGTTGCCCGGATTTCCCGGCACACCCGGCTTGCCGATGACACCCGGTTTGACAGGCTGGAAATGCTGAGCACTGCGCGCTACCCTACCCCCTGTCAGCTCTTCAGCGCCTTCTGGGCCATAAGTCAGCTCAGTAACGTACAGTGCAGGCGGCGCCGAGCCTCCGCAGCGGGGCAACAGCCACTCATCTGAACAACGAAGAGTGTCAGTGTCAAATCCCTCGCCATCTGGACACCTGTACTGGTGCAAGGCAAACGAGCCGCCGTTGTCAAGGTCGCGACATAGGTAGAAGTGGCTGCAGTTATTAGCATCCGCAAAGTAATCAGCTGCTATATGAACAAGCTTAGGTGGCGATGCAGGCGGAGCGTCGTCGACTGGGATCCCGTACTCCAAACTGGGCACGGGACCAGGCGGACACATCAAGTAGGCATCTGAAACAAACATAGCAGGAGTCAAAAATCAGCGATGTTTTTCAAACAAACATTGAGTAGTTGTTTGATATGGACGCCCAGGTGCTATTCTCACGCGCAGGTAAAGATCTTTCGGTGTGTAGTTAAGTTTTTGAACCGGCAGCGCTATGTAAAGATTTCGGAATGTTTCACCAACTGGCAGCACTGTCATGCAAATTGGGCAGGTTTGCCTCATGACATGCTTACGTGAGGAAACATGTCATCAGCTGCGATCATTCCCGTATGAGGACTGCAATTTGCTTCAAGATCGTACATCGAAACATGGTCTGATACCAACAGCGTGGAATGGTGGGTAAGCGAAGCGTAGGTCATACATTTCTACACGCTGGATAAATTGCCCTAGTCTAAACAGGATTCTAGGAAATGAATTCTATGGGTCGTTGTGCCAGCGCCAAACAGCAATTTGGTGGCACCAGCTAAAGCGGCCGACAAAACATGGCACAGGTTGCTTGCTGGTATTGCATTTAGTACTCGATCACATATTTGTAAGTACCCACTGGTGCTGGCGTATATATCACAATCCGCTGCGAATTGCGCCGGAAGACTATCGTGTGCGAAAACATAGTGCAAAGAAAACCAGATTTGGGTGATGGGCGCCCAAATGGCATATTTCCAATGCTCAAATAAGATGGCCTTCTGGCCACAATCATGAGGGCCAAACGTGCACCATAGTTCACCAAAGCAATATCACTATCAGCCCATGTACCTTCGGCATGTGCGACCAAGAAAGACGTGTGGAGCAACAGCGCAGCTTGTAGTAACTGCAGATGCATCCTGGCCTTTAGCGTTTCAGTCTCTGAGGATAAGAGCGAACGACAACCTGAACACCAACATACCAGCGTGTCCGAAAATGTGATGTCCTTCCTTGTGCCGCACATCTTATAGATTATCTGTGCAGCGGCATAATCGAACGCATTGGGTTAGTGCAGTCCTCATTCTGCTCTACTGCATTACTGCATGTACTATATACAGAGAAGGGAGGAAGAGGAAGGGAAGGAGCGAGGACGGAAGGAGAAAAGAGCGAGAGCAAGAGAGAGGGAGAGGGAGAAAGAGGGGAGAGAGAGAGTAAGAGAGAAAGAGAGAGAGAGGGGGGAAGAGAGAGGGAGCGAGAGAGAGAGAGAGAGAGAGAGAGAGAGAGAGAGAGAGAGAGAGAGAGAGAGAGAGAGAGAGAGAGACCTCCCGATGAAGCGATGGCTTAAATGAACATACTTTCACTGGTAAGTTCATGATCTCTCAGTTAAAGCCTATCCATCAAAGCAGTTGAACAAGACCACCAAGACATTCTACAGGCAATCGTACAGGTCCGCGTCCGAGGTGGTAGCCCTGGCCGCCGCTTCCATCGGCCTTGGCGTCGCCTTACCTGCGCCAGCGCTCAGCTGTCTCCCGGCGTCAACGGCGGCCCACCGCGTACTGTCGGGCCTGCAGCAGGGGTGTTGGGGTCGGCTCAGCGGTGGGAAACCCCCACCCGCCGGCTACCAGGGATGGTCGCCTGGAAATACCGTCTCTTCTCGGGACGGTCAGCCGATAGCACCCACCTGCCTGCTGCTGGCTGGCCAACGACGCATTACTACGGCGACTGGGACGGTGGGCTTTCCAACACTGGATGACAGCATTACATGCCTTGGCTTCGTACCTCGTAACCCTTTTAAGGAGAACTGGCCCACGACACCTCTATGCCCAGAGTGGGTGATAGCTTATTGTTAGTACCACTTGCAGTCATTGTGTTTATCTAAATCTCTCCTAACATTATTTTCCCTGAGGTCAAAGGGAAATTGTGGTTTAAAAGAACGATTTTCCAGCCCCATGTGAGCAAAGCAGAGGAAATGTGTGCACCATTTGCTTTAGCTCTGTGGCTTGTGCCCCTGACCGGAGACACTCTAGCCTGGTCATACTAATGCGGGAACCGGCTTTTGGTGGAGTTCATGCTTCTGTCAAGGCTGCAGCGATCTTGCAGGCTAGAAAGCAAACATCTGCAAAGAAGGGTACTACACAAGACTCAGATGGCATGATGAAACTTCCTGCTTGCTGAACCACAAAGACAATCCCAGAGTGACTTCAGAGAGCCCAGACCTAATCCAAAACTTAAAGGCATAATCCTGTGGTTGTGTGGGACCTGTGCTGTTACTGACTGGAGCGGTCCGTGTGTGGCTGCGTGGGGTCGTTATCGTCACACGGTGTGATGGTTCCTCCTTTGGTAGTGACTACCAAAGCGACAGCTGTCCCGTACCACCATAAGACTAGGCTGAAAATCACGTAAGTTGCTCAGTGCATTAGCGAGGAACATTAGTCATACAGATAAGACAGCAGTATTAGCCTTATTCCTCGGAAAAACCAGGAGAATGGAGATATAGTTAGGTTGATATTTCGGCAACATGTCTTTTTTCGAAACAATGCCAGAAGTGAATTCAATTCTGCTATCGTAGATTTTTGTAGAAAATGAAAGGCGCTTCCTATCACCGACTAAGTTTGGAACCGTCTTAGACGCCACCTGGAGCCAAAGCTCCCAGAAGCCGGTGCAATACAACTCTTAGTATGGTAAACCACAAAAACAAAAACAACTTAAATTAAATGCCGCATGGCTACCAAACATTTTCGTTTCAGGACTTCATTTGCACTAAAGGATCAATTACTGGCTATCAAACGCTTGATGATGGTTGAGACTCAGCAAATAAAAGCTAAAGGCATACTTCACATAACCAGCCTAGAGGCGTTAAGCTTCCTATTCAGTGGCAGGGAGGGAGATTGTTCCTCCTAACTAGAGATGAAGCTTCCGATTTTTAGCTTTAATTTTCATCCATTATTTATTGTTCTTCATAATGTTAAGGGTTCAGCCCCCAACACCAATTTTGAGAAACTTCACCACCGCTCCCAACTGTGAGAGGAAAGTGTGGCAAATCTGAGGGGAAAAATGATGTATGTGCACCTCGGACGCAGGCCCAGTCATTTTTTGCCTGCGCCTTTCTCCCCCTCCCTCCCTCACTCCCACGTGTTTTGAAAAACTGCATCCCTCTAGCGCTACACGTACTGATAAAACGGTTCTACAATTACCTGGAGACAATATCACTTTTGGTCTCGTGGAATCATCATACAATCAGGTGGAAGCTTTGGCGGCCTGCACTATCTTATCGTTATTGGTGCATATCGTTACTGGTGCAAAATTTCAGGGCCAATACCTTAAAAAGCTGACGATTAGTCAGTTTCTCACATGAATACAACTGACAGAAGCCCACAGCCTTGCACTGAATCCAACGCACCCCCGCGCCGCGAACGTCCCAGCCCGTCTGTCTCAATGGCATGACGCTTTAATACGCTGCGTAGCAAACTGATCACGTTCGTCGCAAGATGCTGCGGCCAGCTGCGATTCTTGCGGCTAGTAATAAACCTAGTTATTTCGTATTTTATACTGTTAAATATGTGGAGTGAACCTTGGCTGAAAAATCTGTGAAAAGCACTGATCTGAGGGGCATTGGAAAAGCAACGTGTCACCACTAATCTGTGGCGCCAGCATTTATATAATATAGTTTGTAGCATATTTCTGTCACCTGCTGAAAACTATTCTGATTAAAGCTATTATGTTTGGCAGCATCTTATGGCTGAACTTGCTCATATAGCGAACCGTCAACGTTTCGACATGTGCCTTACACATGCTCACACTGCAAGCCTTAGCGAATACAGACCAATACTAATCTTTTAGTTTCATCTGGGTGGTATGGTCTGTTGAATTTCTTTCATGTTGAAATTTTATCACCAGTTGGCTTGCAAAAGTCTCGGTTTTTGTCACGTACCATATCCGGTGAATCAGAAGCTTTTTCATCCCTGCTTACTTCAGACGCTATCAAAAAGAGCTATGAAAAATTTCCTACAAACACACAGAGTCCCAGGGGGGGGGGGGGTGATAACACCGTCCCTCCTCCCCCACAACGGAAATGGCACTTAACCTGGGCAATGTCGCAAGTCGTTTGTGTGAACAGCACCACGTTCGTATTCGCTTTCATGTCTGCATTTGAACACGGGCTTAGAGATTTTTTAAGCGTTGCATTTTCGTACTTTTATCATAGTAAGATCATAGACGTTTGATTTGATTGGTAGAGACAGCTTTCGCGGAATTCTTCTGCATACCCCAGAGTTTTATCTGAAGTAGCCTCTCCCACGGGGGAGAAATGACATTGGATACTTTTTTGCCACTATGAAAGCGATGTGTATCATTGCCTGTGCTTTTTCTGGCGCGTGTGTTATGTGATATTTGCAATACATGAATTGTCCAAAATGGTTGTGCATCAAAATTGTTGTGCACTTAATGCTATGAGAGCATGAAACGCTCCATGTAGAGGAAATGTATAAAAATATGCGGCCGTTATCACGCAGATGTAAGGACGCGTCATACAATGGCTTGGTAGATCGCGTTTAGCGATCTGCACCGCGTTTGGCGGAGTGATTTTTCGAGGCGCACTTTGGCCTCGGGAGCATTTACACTACACACACTGCTTAATACACAAAAAATACAATATTTAACAAACATCACGAAGCATACCATGAAGCAAACTGTTAACTTGGATACTGAAATCGTCTCAAGAGAACTTACATTGCAGGTACACACACACACACACACACACACACACACACACACACACACACACACACACACACACACACACACACACACACACACACACACACACACACACATATATATATATATATATATATATATATATATATATATATATATATATATATATATGGTGTGGTGCGGTTTGCCGAGATTGGAGATTGGCTGGTGTTTGGAATAACGGCAAGAGATTTTCGAAGACGGACGTTGACTTTTTGAACGAGCAGAAACGAGGACGAACGAGAGCACAACATCAGCGGTAGGATATTTTGCTTTTACCAGTTGGGCCACGTGCTGATACGCGCCAGAAATTCAGACGGTGGAGGAAAAGCCCGATTTAGGCGGTAAAGAGGGTTCATCAAACATGTTTAGACCGCCGACATTTTCTGGAGGTGAGGCTGAAGCATTTTTGAGGCAATTGAAGAGAATCTCGAGAGCCAATGGATGGAATGAAACTCATCAGCTTGATGTGCTACCGGCTCTATTCGTGGGTAACTATGAGTGGATAGCAGTTCAGTTAGACGAGACCCGACCTGTGAGTGTGGAAGAAGCTGGCAAGATGATTGTGGAGAAGTTATGCCCAAGGGAGAAACGCAGGGAAATGTTACATTCATTCAGCGAGATAAAAATGAAAGAGATTGATGAACCCAGGGCGTTTGTGAGTAAGCTACAAGAGCTGGTACGTGCAGCCTTGCCAGATGTGGACAAAGAGACAAGAGAAAATCTAGTGATTGAAAGGATACCCAAGGACGTCCCAGAAAGTGGCAGCTCCGAATGCTGGACATGGACACGTACTCCATAGAAGCTTACACCCGTAAGTTGGAGAGAATACAGTCAGCTGAGAGGATGCAGAAGGAGCTCCATGGTCCTGGCTCTGCAGAAACCCATCCTGTTCGCCAGACCAGGCAACGTACAGTAGGCAGAGATGTTCGGAGGAGCAGTGGGCCATGTTTCGTGTGCGGGAAGATGGGTCACTTTGCGGCTCAGTGTTACAGTAGGGTCAACTCTTCAAGAGGACAGACAACTGATGGGCAGAAGAAGGTGGAAGGACAGGCACTGAAGTGTTTCCAATGTGGAGGAGTGGGGCACATCAGCAGGCAGTGTTCGAGTCCCAGAGGAACACGGGTAGTGTCAGAGAGGAGAACGGATCAGCAGCAAGTCAGGAGGGTTGAGAACTCTGCCCCAGTGGAGTAGGCACAAAACTAGGAGACTGTGATCCAGTGGAGGTGACTGCCACGGCTGGAGCTGGTATGGGCGGCACATCGTCTTCGGTGGAGGTGACTGCCGCAGCTGGAGATCGTGGGGTTGGCACATCATCTTCACCAAGGCTGCCTGAAGTGAAGTGCCAAGACAGGACCAATGTGGAGCAGCTGCTTCAAGAGTACAGCGACGTCTTCTCCCAGAGTGACGAGGATATCGGCAGTTACACTGGTAAACACACTTTAAGTCACCAGTACAGGAGAGGGTAAACCAGTCCGACAGAGAGCCTGTCGAACGCCCATTCACCTAAGGGATACACTAAGGGAGGAACTCAGAAAGATGGTGGAACAGGGTATCATTGAACCCTCTTCTTCACCGTGGGCATCACCAGTAGTTTTAATCAGGAAGAAGAATGGAAAGATACGTTTCTGCTGTGACTGTAAACAAGCTCATCAAACATGACTCGTACCCCCTACCTCGAGTAGAGGACCTGTTGCAAGCTACACAGGGTTCAAGGTTTTTCACAATCCTTGATCAGAAGTCTGCGTACTTGGGCAATCCCTGTGGAAAAGCAGTCAAGGGAGGTAACAGTCTTCCTCACCGAGTTTGGGCTACATCAATGGACCAGACAGCCTTTTGGGCTGAAGGCCAGTCCTGGAGTATTTCAGAGCGTGATGGAAGATCTGTTTGGTAGTATGAACTGGCACAGACCTGTTGTCTACCTGGATGATGTGATTTTGTTTTCAAGAACGCTAGAAGAGCATCTGGAGAGCCTACGTGAGCTGCTGCAGAAGTTCCGCCAGAGCGGCCTGAAGCTTAGTCCCGAGAAGTGTTGTGTAGATGCTTCAGAGGTGATCTTCCTGGGCCATCACCTGGATGCTGATGGTATACGTCCTGCAGAAGAGAAGGTAGAGGCCATCCGCAATTGGCCTGCTCCAACGAGTCCCCGAGCTCTTCGTCAGTTCCTCGGCTTCTTGGGTTACCATCAGCAGTATATCCCAGAGTACAGCAAGAAAGCAGCAGTGCTGACATGACCCACTGCAGAAGACGACAGCCTACCAGTGGACCGAAGAGTGCCAAGAGAGCTTCCAAAATTTGAAGAATGACATCATGAAGTACAGAGCGCTGAAGTTCCCAGACGCAGAGGAGGAGTTCATCCTTACCACCGATGGCAGCGGCACGGGTTGGGGTGCCGAACTGAAGCAAGTCCAAGGAGTTGTAGCGTTCGCCTCAGGCAAATGGTCGCCAGCCGAGCTGAACTGGTCAGCGACGGAGAGAGAGCTGGGCGCCGTGTTGAAGGCAACTGGGAAGTTCACACATTACCTGCTGGGTAAGCTCTTCAAGCTGAAGACAGACAACGAGGCTATCAAGTTCCTTCAGAGATCGAGGCCCCCATCCGGTCCCTTGTACCGATGGATGGAGAAGCTGCAGGAGTATGAGTTCGAAGTGGAGCACGTTCCAGGGAAAACCATTCTACATGTGGACGCCCTGTCCCGACAGTATGAAGACAACGTCGAGAAGATAGGCCACCGTCAACGCAATGAACTGCGTGCGACCGCACCAGCGTTCGTTCCCCGAGGGATCGAACGCAGAAGTCTGGAGCGACCGACTGCACAGGAAGAAGCAAGAAAGAGAGTCAAAGAAGAGAAGAAAGAAGCTGAAGAAGCAAGAAAGAGAGTTAAAGAAGAGAAGAAAGAAGCTGAAGGATCAAGAAAGAGAATTAAAGAAGAGAAGAAAGAAGTGAAGGGCCAGATACGTCCCGATGAAGGCGCAGAGCGAAGATGCCCTGTAGTCATCACAAGACGAACAGTCGGGGATGAAGTTGAAGTGGATGCGGAGACTCCTTTAGCAGAAGAAACTGAAGCAGATGAAGTTCTCAGCCTGTTAAAGAGACTTCTACGGGGCCAGATCGTGGAAAAGGAGCTGACTGGATCTTAACAAGAGTTGGAGTTCTACAAGCAGATGGATGGTCTAGTTCTCATCCAGGGGGTGATCTGTAGGAAAACGTCAGATCATGCCACAGCTCAACTAATCGTGCCTCGGAAGCTGGGAGAAAGATAAATTCGGCTAGCTCACGATACTCCGCTGGCAGCACACGGCGGAATGAAGAGGACGCTGGCGAGGGTGACTCGACGTCACTGCTGGTGGCGTGTGAGGCAAGATGTGAGGGCCTTTGTCCAGAACTATCACTCCTGTCTGCGAGTGAAGGCCAAGAACATAAAAAGTAGAGAAGGCCACGGCACCGTTCCAGTCACCGGAAAGCCCCTGTCACAGTGGGCGGCCGACACCCTGGAGCTGCCGGCGACCGCGGACGGTTTTCGATACGTGTTGGTCATCACTGATTACTTCACGAAGTGGGCGGAGACGTTTGCCCTGAAGAAGCAGACGGCTGAAGCGGTAGCTGAGTGTCTGCTACGCGTAATCTGCCGCTTTGGAATCATAGACTCCCTCCTAACCGATCAAGGTCGAACTTTTGAGAGCACCTTGATTCGAACTCTCTGCGAGCTGTTGGGTATCGAGAGGCTGAGAACAACGATCTATCATCCTGCCTGCAATGGACTCGTAGAACGGTTCAACAGAACGCTGATCGAAGGCTTGAGTCACCACTGCGAGGATGACACCGCGGACTGGGTCCGTTGGTTGCCGCTGACAACGTGCGCCTACAACACGAGCCAGCACTCCACCGCGGACGTCTCCCCGTGGGAGATGGTGTTCGGAGCTGAACCGAAGACGCCGGTCAACGTGGAGCTGTGCGGCCAGCCAGAAGAGCAGGTGAAGAACGTGTCGCACTGCGAGTACCTGAGACGTCTGAGAAGGAGACTGCAGCAACTTCGCGAAGGTGCGCTGTTAAAGATACACAAGAATCAGTCGAACAGGGTGGAAGAGGGCCAGTCTCTGTTGGAGGAAGGAATAAAGTGTACTGCCGAAACTTTATCGCATCAAAAGGCAAGAAAGGGAAACTGCAACCACAGTTTGACGGTCCCTATCTGGTGGTACAGGTTCGTCAGCCAGATTACGTCCATACAGAAGGGAAGACGGAAGCGACTGGTTCATGGAAGGCATCTGAAGCTAGTCGGGACTGGGAAGCTGACTGCGCCGACGACCGCGTGTCAGGGCCGGCCCTCACCCAGTGGACCAGCCAGCTGTGTAGCAGCTGGCGACGGACCCGTCGGCTACGCAGCAGGTGACGACTGGGCAGCTGACTACTGGGCGGCTGACGACTGGGCAGCTGACGTCTGGACAGCTGGAGGCGGACCAACGGATGGTGGACCAGCTGGAGGCGGGCCAACGGATGGTGGACCAGCTGGAGGCGGACCAACCGGTGGCGGACCAGCCGCGGACAGACCGGCCGATCACTTTCCTTACTGGGGGCTTCCTGGACTCAGCGGAGCAGCTGGCGGCGATACCGGAGGAGTCAGTACGGATACCGGGCCGCAGTCGCAGGTTGTCCTACCAGTGACGCCGTCTGGAGCGGATGGAGGAGTTGGTGGTGGCGCCACCTGTGGCACCCGAGCGTGTTGGTTCTGGAGTGATGCCACGAACGAGGTCGGGACGTGAACTCAGACGACCGCGACGCTACCTGGACTAAGTTGAGTGTGCAGGTGTTTTGGTTCACTTGCCATACAGTGTGAGAAGTGTGAGTTCTTTAATTTGTTAGACTGCACCATGGCTGACAACTTCTGTGATTGATTGCCGGAAACACCTCATGTTTAGGGCCGTAGTGATCTTTGGGTTCATATACTAGAAGTCTAGTTTAAGAAGAGGGGGATGTAACGGTTGGGGCTCAGCTGAGCAGTTCCGGCGGCAGGGGAGTTGTGTGATCAGCTGGGCAGTTCCGGCGGGCACGGGGAGTGCGCGCACCGCGGGGCGTTAGCGGGTGGCGGCCAGAGGGTGCGGGCGTGGTGCGGTTTGCTGAGATTGAAGATTGGCTGGTGTTTGGAATAACGACAAGAGATTTTCGAAGACGGACGTTGACTTTTTGAACGAGTGAAAACGAGGACGAACGCGAGCACAACTATATATATATATATATATATATTATATATATATATATATATATATATATATATCTATATATAATATATATATATATAATAATATAATATATATATATATATTATATATATATATATATATATATACATATATATATATATATACTATATCTCTCTCTCTCTCTCTCTCTCTCTCTCTCCTCTCCTCTCTCTCTCTCTCTCCTCTCTCTCTCTCTCTCTCTCTCTCTCTCTCTCTCTCTCTTCTCTCCTCTCTCTCTCTCTCTCTCTCTCTCTCCTCTCTCTCTCTCTCTTCTCTCTCTCTCTCTCTCTCTCTCTCTCTCTCTCTCTCTCTCTCTCTCTCTCTCTCTCTCTCTCTCTCTCTCTCTCTCTCTCTCTCTCTCTCTCTCTCTCTCTCTCTCTCTCTCTCTCTCTCTCTCTCTCTCTCTCTCTTCTCTCTTCTCTTCTCTCTCTCTCTTCTCTCTCTCTCTCTCTCTCTCTCTCTCTCTCTCTCTCTCTCTCTCTCTCTCTCTCTCTCTCTCTCTCTCTCTCTCTCTCTCTCTCTCTCTCTCTCTCTCTCTCTCTCTCTCTCTCTCTCTCTCTCTCTCTCTCTCTCTCTCTCTCTCTCTCTCTCTCTCTCTCTCTCTCTCTCTCTCTCTCTCTCTCTCTCTCTCCTCTCTCTCTCTCTCTCTCTCTCTCTCTCTCTCTCTCTTTATGTCTTTATGCCTGTATGTCGCAAGGGGTCTATGTGATCCCTTGGGACCGACGACCATGGGCCCGATTGGAGTGTCCGAAAAGTTTGTTACGTGCGTTGCTAGCAGTTTTCGACACCCTCATAACAATGGTGCCGTTTGTTTCCAGGCGCATTACCTGAGCTGTAGAGCGATCAGCGGATAACACCAGCGAACTGTTGACCATTGATGACGTCACTGTTGCTGTATGATATAACTAAGACGATCGATGCTGCCCGAAGCGAAGCTGAGGCCAATGGTGTTCTTTGAGGTTTTCTCAGAGGGTTAAGGAGTAACGTTATCTATATCAACAATGTACCGCTACTGCCCGCTGATGAATGCGTCATTCATTTTGTTAAATTGATCTATAGAGGCAGTGGATGTAAAGGTAGCGAGTGAACGGTTTCAAAGGCTTCGCTCTTACAGACGTCACCGTTTTGCTTTCGTAAGCCGAGAAATAGACCTCATATAATTTTCGTATAATTCTGGCCGGATGCAGGCCGTCACAGTCCGCAGAAAGCCCCGTCCCAGCCCGCGTCTAGAGGGACTGCAGGCGCAAAAACGGCCGCACGGGCGAGGGCGACCTGTATCGTGCATGTTAACCGAACCGCGACCACTTGGGGCCCGGAAGAAGCGAACCAGTGAACCAAGTGGATATATCTGATATACGGCAAAGCAGACCTGACGTCAAGCTAAGTCAATATGGGGCGAGACCAACTGCCATGCAAATGCATCATGAAGTAGCTGCAATATTCATTTATCGCGATGACGGTTTCGCCGTAGCTTATCTTTGTTCTGAACAGAAGACGGCTGTTCCCGCAGATGCGTGGCTGATTGATAGACAACGGACAGCCAGCGTCGCTTGTCAGCGCAGTGAAGGCGGTCTCACAGTGTCAAATGGTACGATTTGATTGTTCTCAACTTAAAATGGAGCCAAACCATCCTGACCTACAAAAATGAGTGACCAAATCCGAGGAATTTGGGGCTTTCGATGGGTTATGTCTGTTTCTCCTCCGCCATGCTAGTCCTCAAGTGCATCTCCCCCCTCGACAAAAAACCCGCGGCTCCGCCTCCGGTTCGGGTGCAATGCTCTTAGAATCGGATTGTCTCAGGAAGTTATAGCAGCGTTTGAGTTCCCGGGAAACTAGATATTCCATCGTAACCAGTATGTCATCAGCAAAACATGACTGCTCCTAGGAGTTAGGAAAACTGTACGGGTCCGGCTTTTGAGATCTTGCGTTCTCAAAAACACCGACCACTGGAGGTCATGGTTGTTAACGCGACGGGAATTGAGAAAACGCGGCGTTTCAGAATTCGTCACAAACCGAAACCACAGCTTAATATCAGTTAATCGTCACCAACATATTGCCATTTTTGCATTTCGACTTCCGTCAGAATGCATTGGATTGAAGCATCATAGCTCTGATCCACTCCATGTCCGAACCAAGCAAAGTGGCAGCTCAGGGGAAGATCTTGAACAAATACGCCGGGATGGAGACGGCTATCAACTTTCAACGCATTTAGAACACACAAGCTTAAAATTGCTTAAAGCAAAACATGCTATGTCTCAATTCGTTTAGTTGGCATATAAGTTAAAGGTCGCTTTGGTGTCCTAACAGTCTTAAAAGCTAATTATCATTAAACAAGGAAGATAACACATTATTTAACGGTGTAAAAGCACAGCATACAAGTTATTCCAAAGATTTATTTCAATTTCAAGAAGCAATATGAAAACAAATTACGACCCATTGATTGCAAAAATCCGCTCCTTCGCTCCATGCCAATGGTAAATATTGACACCTTTCAATCCGATGAGCCTTTGCCTACACTTTGTACTCACGGCACCATCGCCACTTACCCAACAGCACGGGGCCCAGGACATGCAGCTGCACATGATTGTCAAGCGATACTGCGACAGACAATCGCCAAATGAGTGTCGAGGAAGTCCACTGCGTTAAAACATGACAAAAACACCGCTAACATCGAACAATACAAACACAGTTTCCAATTATACAAAGAAGATCGCAGGCCACAATACGCGGACCATATACCTCGAACGGCTGATATCACGAAATTTTACTTACAAAATGCAACACTGTCACCAGTTTATCCCTTTATAGCTGATCCTGTTCAAGGAAACTCATGGGTGTATGCAGATGTGCTCCATGGAATAAGCATTTCTGCAGACAACACAGCAAACACCGCACGGGCGCTGCTGACTCAGCTGAAAGATCCTAGGTAGTGCACCCTCTTGACCTTAGCGCGTCCAACATCGAGAGAACATCGCACTACGTTCGTGACACCTGACATCGACCCGCATCGAGCCAAGCCAACACTTTAGGCCCGTTTCCAGCACTCCCGACGGTACCCCTAGCGGCCGACCCTGCCACTACGTCTTCTCCTGGCTGCCGCTCGATGTCAGGCTCATCTGGCGCAGCTCGGCGCTGACGTCGCTGAGCGAGGGCGCGCTGATGGTGAGGTTCTCGATCTGGTCGAGCACGCTGGCCAGGCTGGCCGGGTCGGTGTCCGGGGTGGCCAGACCGGTGCGGCCCGCCGACGAGCCCAGCGCCGACTTCACCAGATCGTGCACCTGGCGACGACGGTGCGGATCATGTCAGCCGACCGTCCAACGCTGCTCCAACGACTGAATCCCCCCCCCCCCCCCCCCCCCCCTTTCTCTTCGCACGGAACACACCACTGAAACACCGGCCAAAACGCTGTGTGTTAAGGCCGGAGGCCTCGGCACCAATAGAACGAGCTTAGGCTGTAAAACAACACACAACAGACGTTGAACCAACAATGGTCTTATAATTCGGCAGTTGCGCACAGAGCTTTCTTTGGCATTCCAAAACGAAGAGCAAAATTCTGACCCGTCCCACAAGTCGTCACAAGTCGTCTCCGGGCACCGCCACATGCAGAGCCCCACGCCCGCGCGCCTACGAGTCTCACCGCCTTCAGCTCCTCGATGTGCTTGTCAAAGTCGAGCGTGCCCTGCACCTTGAGGCGCAGCACCATGTTCAGCTTGCCCCTGGCCAGCTGGAGGGCGGACATGTTGGCGCCGTTGGTGCACCAGACGCTGGCACCGGCGGCCAGCAGCTTCTGCGTGACGGCCCAGCGGCTGGTACAGACGGCCAGGTGAAGCGGCGTGTTCAGGCGCCGGTCCTGCGGGTCGGGCCGCGCGCCAAGCGACAGCAGCAGCTCCACCATGTCGCTGTACCCCTGCGGAGACGGGACGGCGGCCGGTGAGGCCCGCTCCGGTAGAGCGGCCGCTGGTGCCGCCCGCTCGCAGGCGGCTCCCAAAGGCCGGCCCGTGCTACACGCCACACGCCAGGTCCGGTACAGCTGATCCGATGCGGTTTAGATAGTGAAATACCGCGATTTCACGGTGCCTTGTCTTTAGGACTTACCCATCCCATATAATAACCTAAGAGCCCCAGCCGCGGCTATCTACGACGGTAAAGCCTCGGGATTTAATAACACCTGCGAAAAAGCAAGCAGCAAACCACAAAGAGAACACCCCACAGCGAATCCTAAGCGAGCAGGTACGCGATAGGCACCCTGGCGCATCCCACTCTCACGCTACCAGGGGTGTCCGAGCGGCGGCGAGGTGGCGAGGCCGCCTCCGACGAGCGGCGAGCACAGCGGCCCAGTCAGCCACACACCTGCGAGGCGGCCACGTGCAGCGGCGTGCGACCCAGCGCGTCCGGCTCGTTCACGTCCGAACCCATGGAAATCAGCTGCCGCGCGCGGTCCGTGTCGTTGAACCGCACCGCCCACATCACTGCAAGGGCGCCAGCACGGAGTAACGCCTCAGTCGGCAGGCAAACGGTCATGGCACATGTCTCCAAGTAGGCAATAATGTCGCACGGCCCCTGCAGCTGATCGTCGGGATGACGAAACTTGCGCGTGTTGCGCCTGATCTACGGCACAAAACAACTAGCGCGCATGCATCACGTAAAGGATCGGTGCCGAGATATGATGATTTTTACCTCTGCGGCATGCTTCACCATGCTGAGTCACAACATAGCTAACGCTACTGGACGCTTCCAGGGGGTTGCAAAGATCCCATGGAGCTTATCTTTGTTTCAAAACACAAACAAAACACGTAAGGGCGGACGACTGATACGTATCGAATAAGAGCTATTCGGCCTCACAATGATCCCCACCTGAAGGCCAACGACAAAGGAGGCACGCAACTTCATTACCATGCCAGCTCTGTCATGGCTGCATGCGATCACGTATCACACGAGATCACAGCAGCACCAGGTACCTCCGCCCGCGCTCCCTCTCCGCGGCGCCCACCTGGGCGCGGCACTCACGGTTGGCCTGCAGCTGGCGGTCCTGGCGCAGCCACTGCACGGCCAGCCGAGAGACGCGCCGCCGCGCTGCCAGACCCGACACCTTTCCGCCGCACGACCCCTGGGCTGGAACGGTGAAACAGCGGCGTCGCGTGATGGTGGACCCACGCAGGCCCCGACACCTCTTGCCTCGCACGGCTCCTCCACTAGCGGACAGGGAGAGGAGGTGGAAACAGGCCCGATATCTCTGCGTCGCACGGATCCCGGGCTGGTGGTCTGGACCCAAAGGGGGTGGGGGGGGGGGGGGTCAGGGTGAATAGGTCCGACATCTCCGCGTCGCACGGACACCAGGCTGGCGGACGGGACGCGGGGAGTGGGAGTGTCAGGGGACGACGCGTCTGCGCCAGAACATGTTGTAAGCCAATGAGCAACGGTGGAGTAACAGACTAGAAAAATTAAATATCAGGCATTGCTAGCGCCACAATGTATTGAGCGCTGAGAGGAACAAACGATAACGAAAACAACTTACAACATGTCGGAAATTGCTAGGAAAGCGGATGGAATATCTAGTTTTAACATCTAGCAGGGGAAGAGCCCCTTTTGTGCGCCCTGGTAGCCCAGCTGGTTAGATCGCTAGTTGAGTTGCTCAGTAGTTCAGTTGGTTAGACCAACGGGTGCCGCCTACGGAGGCGGGCAGGCGGCGTCTCCCGCACAGCACCATTACCTTCGGAATTTATCTCCTTACAACGCTTTACCTCCGGAACTGTGTGCATTGTCGCGCCGTTTATTTGTTCTTTGCTTTGATTTGTTTATGTTCTATTTGTGTACCGCGCAATCGCTTTGCTGCAACTTTATAACTAAATATGTGCGTGCTGTGAGTGTGCGTGCCTGAGGTGCGTGTTGTACGCGTGGTTTCGACATGTCCGTGCGTGATTGTTGCTGTCAGTGTCCTTTTTAACGTGCCTCATCTCTTAACTACATCGGCTCAACACTCAGAGCAGCCATTTTGTGTTGGAGAGCGTTTTAAGCGTCAATGCATTAATGCATGCATATAGTAAACGATGCGTCGCGTGGACTTTTATCCCAGAAATACATCTTATCAAAAAGTTCGGAATACATCTTCGAAAAAAACTGCAAGTCCAGTGCACTCAGGGGCAAAAAGTTGGGACAGTGTCTACCAGCTTGTCATAACCAAGTCCTGGAAGACATTACAGGCAAAAAAAAGACAGCAGAACCTTCTGAGGTGTTTTTTGAAGTAATTAATCCGGTAAGTGTTATGCGGTAGTACAAAATAACGCGGCTGTTCAATTTAGCACGCAACTACACTTCAAGATCTACCATGGACTTTGACTTATTCAAACTTCATGAAGATCACCGAGTGGCAAAAAGTACAACCTAGAGTAATGCTTTATGTGGGAAAAATGTGAGAAAAAAACGATGTGAGAAAGAGAAAAGTCTATGGCAGAAAAAACACTGGAAACATACGGGAGCAGATCGGGCTGCTCATTTTCAGAGGCCGAACCTGGGTTTTTACGCCAGCCCGCCGTAAAACTAGAAGAATGATATCTCAGTTACCCAGAACACCCCATAGACCCGTCCTCTCCCCTGCCCTCGGGACAAACAATGAAAACATGGGAATGGCATGCATATGTCCTGCTCTCATATCACTGTGTGGCTTATGGCCTTTATGAAGCTTGTTTTAGACTGGATACAATCACAACACCTGAAATGCGGCATCCTTCTGTATATTATTCTTGATTGCATTTATTTAGACCAATTGGAACATCACTTAGTGCCTACTGACTTCAGGCAGAGTTTATGCTGCTCCTTGCCGTTCAAGCTTCTTTACTTGGTATCCTGCGTTTGCGTAACTTTCTGGGTGATGCGCAAATATATCTGAGTGGTAATACTTTGCTTGCAACTGGGTACAGAAAGCGCAGATGTCATACCTAACAAGAGCTATCGGCAGTAGGCCTGTAAGAATTTTGAGTACACGTCCAGGTACTAATTGGTGCACCAATTGCACCAGGCAAAACATACATTGTTTAGGCCCGCTGCTGTATCAACATGCTGTTCTGTAGTTATAACCACATTATAGTAGAAAAGCATTGTAACTACAATGTGGTGATAAAGGTATAAAAAGAGAAATGTTACGACAGCCTTTCTGAGGATATCTCCGTAAACGCCAGTCTTAACCGCTAAGAACCCGAAAGTGACAGAAACTTTTCCAGCTTTTTTCAGTTTCACCCGGCTGATACGAGAAACTTCTGACAGCTCAGTTGCTTATAGCACAACTCACCCAATTCACCTTTTCATTCCATGTGCCCGATGGTGGCGGCCGCAATGAGGATCAGGTGCCGTCAGCGGGCACGACAGCCCGTGCCGAGCATTGCGGCAAGTTAAGCTTTCGCCGCTAAACCATACCGCTTACACGGCATTGCACGATCCGATGGTAGGGCCAGGGGTTTCATAATACGCAACGCTTACAGTGGGCAGTGATTGCAGACATCCATTCAATCAAAAGTTCAGAGCAAATCGTTTTAACAGTGCCAATCCTACAGCCAACACGAGTATGTTTTGAGGTGCCCAAAGTAAGTAGCATCGTTCCACCACTCAAGCCGGCGGATGTACCGAAAGTCACTTGATTCAGGTCTGGTTCGAAAACTCAGTTCAATACACCAAACGAATGCCTGTAGTCGACAGCCAGACGTGCTCCCCGGTTCCATCGACATGAGGACTTTACCACCGCGATGGCCATGGAGCGTGAGCAGTGTACAAGACTTCGGTGATGTGGCGCAACAAGCGCCTTGGGCCAAAATGTCACCAGGATCACGAAAAGTGCAGCAGGCACAGCCGCGCGCTCCGTCATTAGCAGTCCCTCCACTCACGCTAAGACAGCCAGTGCGTCCCCACCCACTCACCATAAGGTGTCCAGGTATCCTCGCCCACTCACCGTAAGGCAGTCCGGGCAGCCGGGCATCGCAGCCCAGCACCAGCTGGCCGCTGGGCGCGAAGCTGGGCAGCACCAGCAGCGCCGGCGAGCTGATGGGTGGCAGCGCCTCGCGCAGGTACTGGCTGACCAGGAGGGCGCGGTCCACCGAGACCCGACAGTCGGAGCACCGTTCGGAGGAGGCCGGGGACGCGGCGGCGGACGGAGACGCGGCCGAGTGGACGGTAGCTGGCCGGTGCGGGCAGCCGGACGGTCCGGCCGCCGTCGCCGCCGCTGCTGCTACTGCCGGCAGCTCCACGTCGGCATCCTCACGCGGCGGGCTGTCCATGACAGCTGGTGAACGCTGGAACGGAGATGCTGATGTTGATGGTCGGGAACAAGCGTGATGCTGGGATTGAGCTGCACAATGAATCATGGCTTTGTGCCTGTTCTAAATAAATTTTCGCTAAATATGTTCAAAAATGAAGTTTTCACTTGAGTATCAGCAAAAGTGTGTCACATTTGATGGGACCTTTCTGATCCAGTATTAAGGTCCAGCCAGAAAGGCTTGTAAATGTACTGAGCTTAACTATTTATGATACAGAGTTAACATGCGTCCGGGTGGCCGGCTAGGTACCCCTCGCTCGGGTGGGGGTGGGGTGGGGTGGGGTGGGGGTCAATTTAACCCTCTGAGAGCTCAGGAAGTAAGAAAGCTAGAAATATCAAAATTACTGGGTGTGTTGACCTGTATGTGAACTCATTTCAGTCAAAGTTTCAGGTTCCTAGGTCATGAACTTCGGGTCAAAAAAGGTCAAACAAGGTCAAGTTCCAGGTCGGTCTCCAAAGTGCCCCCAGAACCTAGATAACTGTTTCTAAGCAGAAGCTCTCATGCTCATTGAAGGTAAGTGACCAATTTTGAACTTTTGAAGGACAAGGTAACCAAAGTAATACAACATTGCTATGAGTTTTGCATCTGACTAAGTGACAAAGATTATGCTAGACAGTATGTTCTAACACAAAATGCTGACCTGGGTCATTTTAGTTTAATGACCTATTATTACCTCTAATAAGCCCACGGAAGACGTGTAATGCAGTTCCTGCTATCAATAAATTTTAAATGGATGCCAGAAACTGTCCCGTACAGCAAGCCCTAGAGTAACAAAACAGGTTGGTTTTGACCTTGGTGTGAGCTTCATACCTGACCTTAGGCCAATGTTATTTGCTGGTTCAACTGTTGTGTTGCCTAAGAAATTATCTCAGAGATGCCTGGCTTTGTCTGACACTCTGATGTTGGATCAGACTGAAGGATTCCCTAGAAAATGCGTTCGCTGAGACCATGGCCTAACTTTGACCTGCCACATGTCAGCGACCGGACAAGGTACATCTAAATCTTATATGTCAAACAATCCGCTATTCAATTATCTACAGCTATGCAAAATTTGGTGTGGCTACACCACGCCGTCCAGAAACCATTCTGGAAAACCTTTGAGGGGGCCAATTTGACCCCCACCCGAGTGCGTGTTAAAGTCAAGGGTTGAGGTTAACAAGTTCAGATTCAACAATGGCATGTGACATGCTGTCAAACAGGCAAAAGCTTGTTTTTTGAAACAGTTAACAAATGTTTTCTGACAATGAAACCCAGATATGTGACTTGCTTTATATTTGTTGGCTGTGTGCTGAGGTGTCTGCTGAATTGTTCTACACATGGAGACAAAATACAGCATTCCTGACTAAACCAAATATGTTAAGGCAGTGCATGTGGTGGGTGGAATATGTGACAAAGCAATTAAATGTTCAGCAAGGGTGTAACATGTTGTATGGAGGGCATCAAGGGATACATGTTTCTTTGCTGACAATATTTTAGTCAGATATGACTATTCACATATCAATTGATTTTGAAGCATTAACTCATCACTAAATACTGCACTTCCTGCACTCCTTGGAGGTGAAGATGGAGATGCAAAAATACATGTGTGCTTTACCACACACAAGTCATGCCATCTGATTAAATGCTGATTATCAGACACTTGCTTTCTGCTGATTTCACTACCACACTTTTTTGACACCTTGCAGCCTTGTTCGCCTGCTGGACAGGCATTGCACATGTACATTGGGAAGTTGATTTTCTTTTTCAGCATGAAACTGTTCACATTATAAAGTGTGCATAAAATGCCTATCAGTCCTGGTCACAGCATACTAGTGCACCAGCAACTTATGTCAAGTGTCTATGATTAAGAGCCTAGCAGAAGCCCATTTTCCATGCATGTGAGGAAACTAAGATCACTCTGTAAGTGACAGATGCCCACTACCAGAAACTGAGAGCTATCTCACTGATCAGGCTAAGCATCAATGGAAACTGATCCTCAAGGTATCATGCAATATTAGGGCACATCTTGTCAATGCCCATGTTCTTTTTTAAATGTGAATAGGAAATCAAATACCAAAACTGAAGAGGAAGTGTCATTACTCATTCAATCTAGTGGAAGTTGTGTACCCTTTGACAAATAAATTATATGTTACATAATCATATCACATTTGACAAATGTTATATAGCACCAAAGCAAAACAGGCCTGTTCTTGTCACTCCTCCAAATTAAGACAAGACAAGTTTGGAGGGGTTGGAACACTGAGGTCTGCTGCAATGGAGATAAGAATGATGTTTGAAGTTGAGTTTATGAAAATATAATTAGCATCTTAATATTTTTGTAATCACAATGACAAATATGAGACTATGAACCTAAAATATACTCTACCTGCATCATTTTGCATGCCAGTCCTTTGTTTGTTGTAATGTCAAATGGTCCAAAAAAGCATATGAATGAAATGCACTATCCCTGTCAACCATAACCTTCCCCAAACTGCCTTTCAATTCAGAAGTCAGGGGACGTTACCTACAAGCTTTGAGGAGCTTGGTGGAGGTTGGAGGAGCCACAGGAAAAATCACATTAGCTTGGAAAAGCTTGAAGAGGATAGAGGAGGCAACAGAAGCAATAAGAACAGGGCACACATGTCATATGATGTGATAAGAAATTGTGAGCTACCTGTATACCTGACAAATAAGAAATAGAAGAAACTTCTTTCCACATCATTTTTCTTTGATCTTTGATTTTAACAATATTGTGAAAAATATTAACTCTACATCCTTTTCTTCTTAACTCTTGTAATAACTTGTATTGCTGATATGGAAACCTTCCATGCTATTCCCACTTCATATCGCCTTCATACTGATATTGCCTTCATGCGTTTCATATTGATGGACATCTATAATCCACAAGCCTAACTCAAAGATATAACCACACAGGCATCTCAAACTATACCAAAACATAACACGAAGTGCAAATGTCCATCTTGACCTAAACACTTGTTTAGAATTCAGGGAGGTGATTTACGAAATGGCAGTTAGCCCAAAAATGTGTTACACCTGCCTTGTCATTAATGAAGGCCTGAAAAGGTAAATTCTATATCAAATACGGTTCCAATAAAACCTGCCACAGTATGGATATCAAAAGATGCATCATGCAGCCAGAAATATACTCACGTGTATGATTCTCAGCGGGTCCTGAGTGCTGTGCCAAAATAACGTTTTTCAGATTTACACAATATACAAGCCCAAAGCGCAGCTGTGTTACAGTCACGGCGCGGTCATATGTTACTATCAGCTGATTGTGTTATATGACATCAGCAGTGTGCCGCGAACTACGATTCAATAGTTAGTAGTGATGGCACGGACCGGGCGCCTGGTGCTGTGCAGTGTGCACGGCCGCTGATTCGCCTTCAGCTGGGTGGGCCATTGACACCCACCCCACTCAATACCCAATGTGGCCCCCCAACGAGGAGGTTGCCCCCAGCCTCATCGCGTTAAGTACAAAAAGGCTAATGAAAATGAAAGCTCAAAATTACATGAATTATCAAGAAGTTTTCTGTTATTTGTTCCACAGCTGATGTGATCAAAGAAAAGATGTCTGATTTCATATCCTGTGTAGTGCAGCTCACTTGACTAATCACAATTCTAGAGTTCCTCGTTCGTACCGTGTTTACTTGAGTATGTTCTGTTTTCCTGCATGATGCATAGTTTTGATTACACGGTTAAAATGTATCGCTGACTTTGCTCTTCATACTGTGGCATTGTTTGCATATTTTAATCTGAATCAACTTTAATCGATGTTTAAAGCTTTGCCGACCACAGCAAGATGCGTTATTCTTCTCTGCGTATCGGAAGATGAAAACGAACTGGTCTAGCATTATGACCCAAACACGGTGCCAAATTATAAATCGTTAACGTTCAGAAGAAAGGTACTGGGTTGTGTAGCTTTAGTTTAAGCGCTGCATCTGGTAGACCAGAGGTTCGGGGTTCGATTCCCCGCGGTGCCCGCCCCTCTTGCCAGGGTAAGAGGCAGGCGACGCCACACAGTCTGAGCAGCTGAGTGCCTCGCAAAGCCAAGAGATCTCAGGGGGTCAAATTGACCCCCACCACCCGAGCGAAGGGTATCTAGCCGGTCACCCGGGAGCGTGTTAACAGTCGCGCACATCAGCTTGCGCTCTTTATTCCCACAACGTTTAACAACGTCTGAAGAAACCTTAAATCGACCCTACGTCGATTACCGGAACCTGGTTCCTACCATCGACGCCAAGCAAAATGATAATGGTGCCCAACGCCGACATCTTTCGCCGAGACCGAGCGAGGAAACAGATAAGGGCAGGGATGTAATTTCCCATCCGGTTGGGGGGGGGGGGGACCTCACACTCATTAACGATTGGAGAAACGTGGGTCAAATCCGGAGGGAAACCTCCTGTTTAGTGTCTTCGGGACCAGCTTTGCCCCGCTCCGACCCCAAGCCTATTTTACGAAATCGGATTCCTGTGGTGGAAGTTTGACCACCGTGACACGCGGTAGATTCGCCACCAGATTACCCCAGCGTCAGGTCTGGAGCTCAGCGTCCATTTCCCACGGAGGGATAAGGTCGTGGTCAGCGATTTACAAAGATCGGGTCACTGAGTCAATGAGGGACCCTGTGTCATTCTGGGGACCACAGTACCTAACGAGGGTCCTGTATGGGCAAAGGGCCAGAATCGGTCATGGGCAGTTTTCGAGGGGTCCGCAGACGGGCCATAAGTGCCCCTCGTAACTGGCGATCACGTGCCGGATTAGATGGCACAAACGGCTGACTGCAAGTCGCGTTTAAGACCCAAGCCCGCAGGGCCGGACCCTCAAGTAAGGGTCAGAGGGCCTCTTGCACCGACTGGGAGCATTTTGAGACAGTCAAAAACCACCTACGTCTGAGCCTGCGGGCCTATTTCGCAACGAGGGACAAGGTTGGGGCCCGCGATTGGCATTGGTCAATGCAAAATGGGCTAAACAACCCTGAAATAATTATGGCTCCTACGTCGGCCAGGGGCCCACAGTGCCTAACGGAGGGTCCTAAGTCGGCAAGGGGCCCCGAATCGGCCAGGGAAACACCTGCTGGGCAGGGACGGGAACGGGACCCAAATGCTAGACGGCCCCTGGTGGTTATCGAGGCCCTCTGATAATGAAATTAGATATGATAGTTTACGATGAGGGTCCCCATTGAGACAATGGAAGGTCCAATGACAGTCAGAGACTCCAATACAGAACAGGGAGCTCTCCATACCATTCCGGTCAAGGGCTCATTATGCTGAACTGGAGTCTGCCAATTATTGGACACCTGCAGCGATAGGGGCTATTTTAGTGTCAATGAAGGCCCTCTCGTCTATCCAAGGTCAAACACCCGGATCAGGGGCTCCAGCGTCAGGCAGAAGTCCAATGTATAACTGATCCGTTTCAGGGCTTCCGTATCGACCTGGAGACCCCCTCCCCCCGTGTCGCCAGTGTCCCTAGTGTTCTATCCACTGGGCCCATGTCCGCATAAGGTAATGGGTTTCCTAGGATGGATCAAAACTAGGCCGAAAATGAAAAAGACCAACACAGACGAGGACGTCCATCCTTGTTACGAATCAACACCTGAAACACAAAACATGAACAGGTTTGTTCGTTCGAGTTTGAGTTAGTAATCTGAGGAGCCAGAACACCAATGGCCGGGGTCACAGTTACCAGCAAACCGAGCGGTGTTGGGCGCTGCACCAGCATCAGACGGGCAGCGAACGCATGGTGCGGGAGAACAGCCGTCGTTAAACAGTGCTTCCAAAAGTCTCTCAAAATAAAGAAGTGGTGTTCAAAAATTACGTTCGGGGTGTACTTCACCTTGATATTTTGGGGCTGTCTTCTGAATAGATAAACACCGACAGCAACGCAGATGTGGAGATTCCACCTTTACTTGTCTAGTTCCAATATAAAATTTCAGCACTGGTTCGTGATACTGTGAATGGTAATGCGTTCATATTAGTTGAAAAAAGTGTACAGGTGAAACATACTCACAGATTACCTTCTCAACCACAAACTGACATTCTAAATGGTTCAACAGTACTTCTGTCAGAAACTATAATGTTCTCACCCGCCCGCTGGTCACCGCCTAATATCAGCCCCGGGGCCGACGCCGCGCAGCCTACGGGCGTCTGCAATGCCCGGCATTAGGGTTTGGCTCTCAGGTTGGCGACCGTGCATTGTCAAAAGTGTGTTACGTATTCTCCGACTTCTCAATTCTAAATAAGGGTTGAGCCTTCTCAGACGAACACGGACTGACATTTCAAAACAAATATATGACCTCATTTCAATATACAATGTACGCTCACTATCATCAACGGTCACAATGTCTCCGTTCAACCCAGAAAAAATTATGGCACAGCGACTGATGCTATCGCTTAGAGTCCCTTGAACCATTGTACAATGAATAGGGCCTGCGTTTCATTCCATACAATTATTTAGCACTTGGCTTCGACAGTTTGTTGACTTTGACATACACACAATATGGTATTTTTTGGCGCCTCCTGCCTTCTGTTTCAGTATAAAGATAAATATTGAAATACAACAATGCAAATGGTGCCGCTCGAAATCAAGCGGGCCATATCTGGTGGTGCTTTGGGTAGGTGGCCGTTCACCAGGAGAGGGCCTTTTGTCATTCCTGAGGCTCTCTGCGTTTGCCTGGATGAGTTTATTAGGTGTCAAGTATGGGTACATAGACATACTTGCATGTTCACTGAACAGCCGGTTCAACTAGCGACGCTTTTAGAATCAACCTGCGTTGCTAGTGGCATTGACATTGTGGGCGTTTCATTTGCCACACATTTGAACTGAAGCGGGTTGGGGTCACTTCCACTTCAGAGGCACAAGGGCTTGAAACAGCCGTCACCCAGAGAGCAGAGTAGCTCTGCAATGGTTTTTCAATCAAACGAAGGGGAAATATATTCTCAACAGGAGTGCAGCTGTCTCGCCGTATTTGGGGAAAGATTCAAGGCCACTTTTGGAGATGACGCACGGAGGAGTGCTACCTTTTGTGTTATGTTGACTGAAATGACGATGTTTTATTAATTAAATTTTGGTGCGTCGTAAACCAATGCGTACACAGGTTGTGATAGCGACATATTATGCTGACAATTATTCTGTGAATACATCAACAATTTAACACAATCACATGAGTACATGGTGGTAAATTATGCACATATTTCGCTTTTTGATATGAAAAAAAGAGATACAACTTCACTCCTTCAGCTCTTACTAACAAGTGCGTTTATAAGAAATGGAAGCAAACTGCTAGGCTTCCATATATGATTGCTGTGGCTACGCGCATGAGCTTTTAAACATGCAGTAATTGTAGGTTTGTATATATATATATTATATATAATATATATATATATATATATATATATATATACATATAGATATATATACATCTACAAAATGTCTGCTACGTGTGTGTGTGGTGCGTGTGTGATGTGCGCTGTGTGTGTTGTCGTGTGTGTGTGTGGGTGTGTGTGTGTGTGGTGTGTGGTGTGTGTGTGTGTGTGGTGTGTGTGTGTGGGTGTGTGTGTGGTGTGTGTGTGTGTGTGTGTGTGTGTGTGTGTGTGTGTGTATAATGGATGCCCAGAACATTTGTGAACAAAATCCGGGTTTCCCGTACCTGTCCCTTGTGGCGACTTCCAGGGCTCTAGTCACTCGATAATTTTGGTAATTCTATTTCCGTGTTTGCGCACAGTTCTGTATACATGTAACGGAGAGATAGCTTTGAGCCGAAGGGGTTCGGCAAGATCATGCCGCCACACGTTAGGTATGTTCTCTCTTCAGTGGTTACTTGTTGCGAATTCATGAAGTTCTTGTTTGGCAACCAGAAGCGCAACTCTGTAAACCTGTCGTAAAAATAAAAACGCATCTGCATGGAATCACAGGGTGTGATCTCCGATTTCATTGAAGGGAGGGCTGTGGCTCTCCCAACTTTGAGATCAATGTAAACGCCTGCCTCCTATCCCACTCATGGCGGTGTGGGTGGCTCGAGTCGCTTGGGCACTTGCCTTTTGCTTCTTGATGGGATGGCCTGCAGCTGTTGGCAATGGCCTCTCGTGATGAGTGTAGGTCAGAGGATCGCGTAAATTGTGCCGAGTATGGCAGAAAGTTAAACGTTCACCACAAAATCCTGCTGTTCACATGTAATTTCACAATGAGATGAGATCGGTGTTCGCACAACAAGCATTGTGTAGCTAGAGGTCTGATCACAGAAATTCT